AATGTACGGCGCTTTTACCCGGTTGGTGGATATGGAGAGTCCACCTAGGGGAGTTGGAAAACCCTGATTCCAAACCAATGGTGTACATGGGCTCCAATATCCTGATGGAACAAGTGGCGTATGAACCAACTATTGGCTACCATGGGACTGCTTCTCCTGACGTTGCTCCACTGCCTTGTGGATCAGACCTTCAGGTCGAAGGCTCCAGGTGTGGCCCTCTAAGAAAACCACTTGCTTCAGTTTTGGCACCCTAGCACTATCCCAGCCCTCATACATATCAAATGAAATCTGTGTAGCGTATATGTATTTGGTGCCTCCTCGGACTAATGTCTATGTATTAAAATAAATAAATAAACACAATCATTACCCTTGTAATTATCATTAATAATCTTTGATTACATTAATGATCTCCAGAGGTGTTACAACCTTGAATCATGACAAATAATTTATCGTAAAATTATACGTATACAAACTCTTGACTCTAACCATTATGTTCATACATAACATGTACCCATGTATATACAGTATAAATCATTATCAAAAACTATATGTAATCACCTGAGAATAATAATACAAGTATAAATAATTCCTCAGTAATGTATACCATATGTATAATAGATTGTATAATTATTTGTAAATTTCAACGTTCATTTGTATAAATCAATTTCTTTTTCTTTTTTTCTTTCTCACAACAATTTCATTGTTTCAATATTTTTCATTAATCTTCCATCAAAGTTTCTTTTTTTCTTAATTCAATATAAAGTGCATCCATGTAACAAGTAAAGAGGCATATAGAAAAAGGAAACGTTATAAATTTCCCATTTTAATAAATCTAGTGTTTTTCTTTTTCTTTTCTTTTTTTATAATACTAGAGAATAGTTCATAAATTTTCAGATTTGGATCAGAAAAAATAAAAAAATAAAAACAATCATCAAATATATATATATATATATATGTGTATGTTCATACATCAATATAGATGAGGAAACAAAAAAAGTATCAATAATACCATGACCCCTCCTGCCTATTAAATAAGGATAGTTGTTATAGCATTGTGTTGGTATTTTTATGATTGTTAACAAGTATCAATTAGATTAATTTTTTTTGTCAGTTGTTATTTACATAACTATAATGTACTGATTATTATTACTAAATTATGAGATGGCATAAAATTAATAAACATAATGTTTTTGTAAACATGCAAGTTCATTCGATAGATATCTTTTTTTCTTTTCTGTATTAGGTATTGTAGTAATTTGATTGTTAGATGATAATGAGTAGTATGTACTACATTTTAGTACTAAAGAATATCTACATAGGATAGTTTCGATCACAGATGAACTTTAGCTGGAAAACCATTGAAAATTAGTAAGGATTGAACATGATCTTGTCCCAGTATTAGGCCACTTAGCAGTATCTACTTCAGAGAGAAGTGACTGATATTGGAGATGTGATTCCCTAAATGACCTAGAGGTAATCCAATTGTTCTAAGGCTTAAGGGTCCTGAATTTGTTTCCTGGAAAAGCTTTGTCTGGTTACTGTCAAGAAGTCCTATACAAGGGCGAAATAACTTCCCAGTTCATTATTATATAAACTATCTTCCAACTGAATATTCTCTAATAACCTCGTATCCTAAGGGGGATCTAATGTTTATGTTGTGGAAAATGTCAACTAGATGAAATCAAATTGTTATATTTCTCTCTTATGGTTATGACCCAGCTATTGCTATTGCTTAGTATTCTCGGACACCGATTCACTCGACAAGTCCCCGAATCAGAACACGGTTGAACAGGAAAGAGATTATATTCCAAAATAACAAGGTTAGAAGGAAGTAAGAAGCAAGTAAGTAGTGCAATAGGGAAAACGCTAGTGTATTTATAGTTTTTCACATGAGAAGATTTCTACAGTGTTCACTAAGTACCGGCAAGAATTAGCCAATCAGCGCGCACCGAAACAATCATGCATTGAGCATGCTTTAATCCAGTCTATGTTCCGCTAACACAAATATTGAAAAGTCACAAAACTTGAAGCATTTTAACCGTTGTTTATTGTTCACATTAGTGATTTGTATAGAATAACCCGCTAACGTTACATCCTAGCCAATCAGCTTACGGCTACACAATACAGATGAGTTAATACTATAGCCTCACAGTAAGGTGTTAATTGATGAGATAACGAGTAATCTACAAGCTGATTTCCTCCACTCTATGAAGGCACTTTACCATGCTTATCTTGTGCTAATATTTTGTATATCGGCGCGTCAGTTTACTACATATAAAACCTATTCTTCTGGATGGCGGTTTTTTCTTCGATTACAAACTATTCAAAGGCTTAAGTCAATAATATGGTCTCGTAAGTAGTCGTCACACAGTTAAGTCGCTTCATTGCATATCATTGATCTATCGTAATTCATCCTCTTATTTCACCAACTGAAAATTCGTTCATTAAAATCATTAAAATTCTTCTTGATTCAGTATACTTGCTACTCATTAAGTAAAAAAAACCCGGGAGAGATGGACAACCAGTACACTTACAGGTAAGTGCGACATCCGACATTACCATTATATCACATAGACATTGAATACTGCTTGGAGAACCTATAGTGGAAGAAACTAGGCAAAATATGGTAGAAGTAATATGAAATTAACAAAACGATTTCGATCCAGCGTTCCCTTTCAAGATTTAGTTTTCTTAGTAACATGCTATTTCACAAACTCTGATATAAGCCTTCTAGGTTTAGACTGGTCTGACAGTCTACACCAGACTAAAAAGCTTCTTAGTTTCACATGCAAGAACGTTCAATTCACTGTTTCTACAAACTTCTCAGTTGCGACTGCTGGAAAACGTTTCTGCTCTCTTCACACTTGATTTGGGTCGTTCCAAAACTGTGCAGGTGGCAAACCACTTGTCTAGCCCCGTTTGACAGTGAAGAATATCCAGCAGGTATCGCTAAGTGACCCTATACGGCCAGAGGAACCATGTTAACAAATTCAAAGTTAAAAATGAAGAGAAATGCAGTCCACAAAATTTCTTTTTTGCATATATTGTCACACCTAGTGAAGCAACTTTCCAGAAAAACATTCACCATAAACTTTGTTAGGATGAAAACTCAACACAACTCCCCATATTGTCTTTGTGACTTTCCCGAAACAATGCAAAACACTCGAGATTCTAAATTACAACACTAATGTTTGTTATTGTCTATCGATCCCACCAGAAGGATATGAAGAGACATCAAGAAGACAAATAAAATGATTGTGGTTTCAAACGGATTAGATATTCTAATCTACGTAAGATAAGTACTCCTGATTCTTCTATTACTATCAGGAATATCACTGAGTATCTTATTCAGTCACTTCAGTTACCCAACCCAGGAAGAGGACTAAGCAGAACTAACATATGACCCAGATTTGGATGCTTGAAAATTTCTATAAACCTTCAAACCAATTTTAAAGTAGTTGTTTGATAAATATATGACCCATTTAATCACCAGCACAATTTCTCTTTCATTATATCATATATAGATCAAGTTAGAAGTTATCTTTGAATCCTTTTTACATTCTGATGTATCATGAAAATGTTAAAGTTTTATAACTTTTTCTCTCTTCATATTTAAATGGTGCCATACAATTCTATCTATCAGTTTTATTGGAATTTTTCTACTCTGTTTCATTATATCTTAATAATTTTCTTAATGATAAAGCTTTGATTAACTTTTCTAGCCCTAAAATTTGTTTCTTGTTTGGTTGTTTGTTTTTCTTTTTAAAAAAACCCATTTGATAACATTTTATTGCCTTTTTTTCTTCTTAAGGTAACATTTTATCAGTTTATTGTTATGATTGTTACTTTGTGGCAACAATTTTCCTTTTTTTCCTTTTAAATTAAATAGAATTATGAAAAGATCATCAAGAGACTTATTTTTTTTTGGCTTTTTGAAAAATGGTAGAGAATATTTTTACTTCAAGTAGATATTTTTGAAGATGCTGCTCTCTCTGAAATGAAAAAAAAATTTAGTCGTTAAGGTTATATTATTATTTAAAATAAGATCAGTAGTTTCTACTTTGAGTAAATTATATAAAAATCTAGATGGAAATAAACTTGGATAATGTTGTGTAAAAATGAAAACATGATTTTTATAATTGAACTATCACTAAAGGAAGTAAATATTTACACAAGAATATAATCTGTGCTCACTGTAATGAGTTGAGGATAATTCTCATAATACAAGTATTCATTTTATATATTTAAAATAAATCTATTATTAGATATCTTGCTCTAATTTGTGACTTCCCCATAGAGTACACCTTTGATTCTGTATCTTCTTTAATGTGAAATATTGCATATTCGAAATTCATTTTTTGGAGTTTGTTCCTTGTATCTAAATCTAATTTTTCCTATTTTTCTTTAAAGTTTTGTTAAATCATATTGTGACAACAAGTGTTGAAGTTCTTGACTTCAGTTGGGTTATCCACCGATTTTTTATTTTGTGAGAATTATTCAAACTAGGTTGCTGAAATGACTTAAGTATCCATAGAATTTGCCGTTTACCTACTTTCATAATACATATATGTATGATGTTGTGTGAAATATGAGACGGTATTTTGTTTTGAATAAATGGTGTCTCCTGATTGCCAGTCTGGGGCTTTTATTGTCTAATCTTACAGTTTAATCGCTGAATAAGTTTGAGACAAGCATGACATTGGTAACTAATGAACCAACCATTTAATGCCACGGGAAACTAGAGGATATTTGTATTGGAGCTCAGGACTTCTCAGTACGTTACACCCACAAATATATCGACGGTCCAACTCAAAATCTTCAAGTTACCTTCAAATTGCTGAGTTAATATTTCATAGAAATAGCTTATGTTTTAAATTTTTAATTTCATCTTCATCCTACTAACGTTTTTTTGGTTATAAATTCATTGTTTTATGAAACTTTGTATTTTTTTTGTTGCTTCTTTTTCGAATTTATCAACGAAATATAAACTTATCAATTAGGCACCTATCGCACCGCCAAAAGAATCTCTTATACAATATGTGGTCAATGTTTATTCACATTTAGCAAATACTTATTCAGTTCAACGGAAAATAAATTATCTTGTTTCCATATTCAATTATATTCGAAAAAGTGTAAGTGATTTGAATATTCCTTTATTTTTAATATCTATATTGTCACTTTATCAGAAAGTCCGTTCTCATATTAACACTCTATAAAAAGTTTCAGCGATCCGACTTGCTACACAAATTACATCAGTATTTCTCTATTAAGTACAAATGTAAATATTCACCTTTGAGTTAACTTCTTCATATTGAGATTCATATACATACACAGTTGATTAGTTTATAATAAAATGAAACTAACGTTAATATTGCCACCGTCAACAATACTAAATTTCAATCAATAACTTGTTTAGTTAAATAGAATTGTAATAAAATCTTTTCAGAACCTAAATAAGAACTAAATTGTTTAATTACAAAAAAATTATTGGATTAGATTAAAAAAGTATATGTTAATTTAGCTACACAATAACTAGATAGTGAGTGCTGTTTCCTAATTTAATGAACATTTTCTTGAGTTAATGCTTATGTCGTTGCTTGGTTACTCCGACATATATAGGTAAGCGGACTCGAGCTTATGACTTGGTACTTCAAAGATGAATTTTTATTTAATCATCAAATAAACCCTAATTCTATTGTATAACATGTTATGATGTAGGAAGAATTAAAAAAAACATAATTTAAAGAATTTATCTATTATCGACCGAAATAGAATATTTAAATGTAGTCAAGTGGTAACAAAGATGACTAAAGAATCTTTAAGTGACTCATATCTGAATATACTACTTTTTATGTGATTTATTTACTATCAGATTTGTATGATTTGAACTGAGTAGTATTTAACATTAATTAATCATTAATTTACCATGTGAACACATACCATACTGATCGATTTTTATATTGACTTAATTTTGCTTTTTTGATTCCGTCATAGCAATAATTGATCACAACTCCTGCTGAATAAATATCAGAGGATAGAACAATTAAACCTTATCAACGCTATCTATCAATCGACAAAAATACTTGTCTCATAAACACATACACAAATTAGATTGATTTTAAGTGGAGAATTTCATTTCGTACATAAGTATTATGAACCTAATTTGTAATTACAAATTAAAGATGATTGGATATGTGCTTCATTTTATTCTATGATTTTAAATTAGAATACGCATATGTCTTTCCGTAAAACTAAACTTTAAACGTTCAGGTGACATAGTAAGCTTAGACTATTAAAACACTTTTGAGATTTATCAATAGTAAGTATGATAAATCTACAGATTATTATTCTTCAATACTGATGGTAGAGTTGATTCTAGAAACCCCGACTCAATCACAAACCGATCAAAATACATTTGATCGCCCACAAGGATGAATTGTGTTTTTTTCTGTTCAAAATCAGCCAACCACGATGGTTTTTTTCTTAGCTATTACTGTGTATTGGTTCATTATCATTATGTCTTATGGAAAGAATGATAGAAATTAGGGTTTGATAATAGTGATAATAATTATCGAGAAAGTTATACAAGTGTATGTAGTTTGGTTACAAGTTATATATATCAGTGTGGAGAAGAGGAAGCATTTTATTGTACACATAAAAATCAGATTTTATTGAGATCATGAACCGGTCAATGTTGAACCACCATTGAAAACGTAGATACACTGGGTGTCTGTTTCGTTCTAGTATGAGACTCCTCGACTCGATAATCACCTCAGCATTGTATTGATAAAAATAAGATTTTTTTATCTTTAAATATTAGTCTTCATCGTTAGACAAATTTTGGTGTGTGTCCACGACTAGCTAGTAATTGTTTGATTGGAAATAATTTTGTTTCATCATAATCACTAGGACTTTGAAGTATCACTTGCAGTTCTGTGTTGAAGAGTTAAGTAAACTACTGTCTCCACACAAAAATATTCATTGATATAGTTCAATAATTTAAGAAGGTGAATAGAGGGAACAATTTCTTTGACAAAAATTGGCATGATGCATCACTGGATTTGGTAATAATCTGTATTAACATAACAATGAACCAGTAAACAAGAGAAATAGTAAGTTTTTGTATCATCTCGTTGTTGATATTGAAAATGGTAGTGACTATCTAAGTTTAGTAGTTTAGTAGATAATTCACTAGCATTTGGAAGGAGAGGTATGAGTAAAAGGATTACCACTGGGAACTTCATAAATTCAGCCAAGATAGAATGACACACATTCATAATTAGCTATAACCTATATGTTTAAAAAAAAGAAAGAATTCCTCAATCTAACTTTGAAGAGTGTAGATCATATACTCAATCCATAGATACAATTTATTATAATTAATAGTATAGTTATACACCTTGAAATGTAAAAAAAAGTAAATAACTCAAAATTTATTTTATTTTTATGATTAAAAATGCTTGTTCAGATATACAATTTGAAATCGGATCAAGAATTAGATGCAAACTCTTTGAGTACTGAAGGTTAGTGATTTTATTCACAATTACACAAACAAAAATTGATGTTGATATTTTCTAATAAATAATAATAATAATTCTTTGAGAATAACTGAATATAAGTTGGTTGACATGATTTCAAGTCATATTCAATTGTTGTAACTGAATTAAGTGAAAAGAAATTTAGATTCTTGAACTCACAGTTACATAGTATATCATCAGAGATAAAGTTTGACATTACTTCAAAAAAGCATTTATCATTGTTGAATTTGTAGATAAAATGATATTTCAACTTATAATTCAGTTGAATTATTCATTTTACTTATTCACTTACGTCTATTACCCCTCGTGGAAGAGCATAGGCCGCTCACTAACATTTTCCATTGAATTCTGTTTTAAACAATCCTTTCCAGTTCTTTTCAGTTGCTATTCACTCTTTTAATGTTTGCTTCCATTTCTCTGTGCAGTGTGTTCTTTGAACTTCCTATTTTCCGTTTCCCTTCAGGATTCCAAGTAAGCGCTTGACTCCTGATGCAGCTTGACGATTTCCTCAATATGTGTTCTATCCACTTCCATCATCTTCTCTTAATTTCCTCCTCAGCTAAAAGCTAGTTTGTTATCTCCCATAGTAGGCTGTTGCTGATGGTATTCGGACAACGGACATTAAGTATCTTGCGTAGACAACTGTTTATAAATACGTGTACTTCTTGATGATGGTTGTAGTAGATATCCGCGTTTCAGCTCCGTATAGCAGAACTTTCTTGGCGTTCGTATTAAAGGTTCTGATTTTGATATTGGCTGACAGTTGTTTTGAGTTTCATATGTTCCTCAAAATCATAAATTGGGACTTGAATTAAAGAATCAAATAGAAATAAAATAACTCGGTAAAATGTATTAACCTGAAATTCAGATGTTTAATACGAAGAAAATTTCAGATTCAGTAAAATAGTTTGCTACTTCCATAAGATGTATAGATTTCTAGTTTTTATTATATCTATTTGACCAGATTCTTTTTCGTAGTTACTTTAATAACTTCTTTGATCACATCTTGATGTTGATTTGAATTATCAGCAACTGATCTCAGTTGTTGCTTTCGTAAATCATCCAATCTATTTTATATTGACATCACCATGTAGTAAATTATATTATTTCTTTTAGTCCTTAGTACTCGTCAAATTTCTTCGATTTAGTTAGGTTCTACAAAACGTCTACAAAAATTTTGTTTATAGTTGGTTGACCAACAGCAACTTGTCTGATCGTGATAGTAGGTTATATGAGATTGAATATTACCATAAGCATGATGCATGGTAGGCTAATAGACGTTCATTGGTTAAATTTTATTAATATTAGTTAAACATTTGTATGTTCTTAATGTCCTCATTCAGATTGTTGAAATGATGCATATGTAAGAGGTGTATAACAAACTGTCCCCGATTGTGTTGATTCTCATATACCTGTTTGTGAGTCAGTTGAAGTGAGTCAAATAGACTAAGTTACCTATAAAGTGTTCTCATTTATCACGTCCGAACCTCGTTACATCAAAGCATCGGCCGGCCCATCATTCCCAAACACCCTCCCGATGGACAACATCTATCATTAAATATTAGTCGAAACTTTTCTGTAAACTGACTGTAACACTTACAACATCAATTTACTTTACTGTTTTCTTGATTGTCCGAAAGTTGTTTTTCAATGATGAGAAGTTGATGAGAAATAAATAAGTTACCGCATGGTTACAGAAAACATGTTCCTACACTCTTCTATATTTATGATAATAACACCATCACTCACAATCAGTTGATTATTTTTACTCCTCCTCCCACCTAAGATCTTCATGCCTACTACGCTTGGGTATTTGCTCGATCTGGCCTACTTCTCACATCACTTAATCCAACAAACAACCATGACATTGGATTACAGACCACTGCACTTACAAACAGTAATAATAATATCAATAAATCAATAATCTGTCCAGCTGCATTGCAAGCTGATTATCTAGATGGAGTTGTAAATACCCCTCAGCTAAATGATCAAGCAACAGGACTGAATGATTTATTCGGCTCACTGTATTGGATATGGAATGATAAAAATGCATTATACCAATCACATGAATCTAGTCCATTGACACAACAAAAACTTTTAAACACGGAACAACAAAATGCTTCATCATATTCTATAAATAAGCAAGAATCCCAATTAATTGTAAGTTGGCTATATGTTTACGGAGTTATTCACTACCATTTATTATTAGTAGTAATATTATTATTGTTATTATCATTATTATCCAGTGCTAACAAGAAGTTTCTCTAAATGCCACTATTTAAGTAGACTGTATAGAGACTGAGTGTGGCATACGAGGTTGTGCGTGATTAGTCATTGATAAACAGTCTACAACTTAAAAAACAGTTGAGAACAGGTAGACATCACGTCCCGGTAATATCTTTCAGAATCATTTAAGTAAAACACTCAAACAAGCTCTCTTTAGAGTCTAAAATACCATTTAGTGAGGACTTTATTTAGATGATTGAAGGAGACACAGACATGATAGAATTTGGAAATGGTTATCATTTTTCATTGGTTTGTCATCCTAGTTTTGAAATGACCAAACAGTAACTTCAATTCTAAAAAAGTTTATGGTTTCTCAGTACCAAAGATTTCACAAAATAGTATTGAACAGCTATTTGATATCCTCTATTCTCATTAATTTCTCAAACAACTCCATCTTGAAATTATGATAAAGTGGAAATATTCCTTGCTATTTTGAACAAGGTTTCACATAATTCCTGTAGACTGTTAACTCCTGTAAAAGTTATACGAGAACATAATGTCAAAGAACTGCGTTGATCCTAGCACTTTATACGAACATTTTGAATATGGTATTTTAGTGGATCATATGGGTGATTTTGATTTAAAAATGTAATTTTCTCAAGCACAATTCCATTTCATAAAGTTAATTTAATCGCCAAACAGAACTGTATATTAGTGAATTCTACCAGATACACTACATATTTTATAAAATTAATTAAAACAATAACTTAAACTACTTATAACCACATATCAGTAGACTTTGACTTCTAAATAAAAAACAAATGTATTCTAGATTATTTCGTCTATCATTACACATAGATTTCAGCTCAGTTTCCTCTAAAATTGGTAAACTATTTAAAATCTATTTATTGGTTAGTTTATATAATCCAATTATTAATTGGTTAAAATAAGAAATTATTAAACATTCAGACAATTGTATTGTTAAGTCAAAGTTACTGTTACTGAATTTCCATAAATTTCAATATTTTGAGTATGGATTTATTTATTTGGACATATAGATATTGGTACAAGAAGGCACCAAATACATATGCGCCACACAAATCTCATTTGATTTGTGTGAGGGCTATGATACTGCTCGGACGCCCAAACCGAAGCAGGTTTTGAGTATGGAAGTATTATCAAAATTAAATTAATATTGAAATGCATAGTTTTAAAGGTGTAATTACTAAGATAAATTGTAGATGCAATCTTGAAAAAAGTTACTGGATAATTAGTGCTTTGGAGATAACTCTTACATTATATTATCGATTGATATGATAGCTAACCTGTGGTAAATATTTATTATACTATAATGAATATAATGTTTCAATATATTAACCTCAAACATAGTGACCACATAAATTGTTCATTTTCTTACTAAGTGATGTTAGAGTAAGCGAATATTTTAATTTACATGAACTGCGTTATGTGTTATGCGAATGATACAAACAAATCAATTAGTAATCGATGATTTCACCACAAAATTTAGTCGTTTATGAACTATTTTCTAGTGCTTTTCGATCACATTAATTATCATTTGGATAACAAATAGATCCTAAAGAATGATAATAATGAATTTTTAATATCTCAGTGAGTAGAAAATCGAATTTTTGATGTTTCTTAATTTAATATTTTACTTTGTAAGAGGATAAACAACCTTCTTCTATATTGAACCTGAAATGTGTGTTAGACTTAAATGCTTAAGATTGTAATAGATTTAATTTTCTTCACTTATTCGATAGTCATAGAGTCACCTTCGAAATTTTGCTATCCGTACGAATGTTTTCCACAACCGAATTAACTAAACGTCAACCAGAAAGAAAAGACTTTTAATTTAATGACTGGAAGCCTTAAAATCTTTATTTTCGGTCTAAGTCATTTTCGGTAGATTCTTAATGTGTTTTTTAAAATCTATACATGTTCTAACATTAATCACTTGTCTTTTCCTCAGCTTATCCTAATAATCAGATTGAAAAATCTTTTGTAAATTGTTTATTTCAATTTACAGACTCAAGATGAATCATTACAGAACATGATCAATTCATTTAATTTAGGTTCCTCGAAATACATTCCATATCAACATAAGCAAGATCATTCAACCTCTAATGAAAATAAAAATTCATCTAGTAGTTTATTTCGTTTAACTACAGAATTTAGTAGACGACGTATAATACCACCACGTCGAAGAAAAACCGTCACTGGTGTAAATTTACCAAAGATACCTAATATTGAACATTCGAATGAAATAAAATCTTCTCCAACTAAAATACAACATAATGTTAAACATCTGACAGCTGATTCGAGTATGAACACTACTAGACAGTACTCAAATCTATCAAAACCTCAGTCTATTTCCCATTTAACATTGAACGAAGATCACTTTAGTCCTGTTCCGTTGAATCAAAATAATAATAACAATAATACACTGTCAAGATGGCGTCCATGGATTGCACAACCAACTTTGTTGACACATTCAACGAGTACATGTCCTCTACCTGTTCAATCTTCTTCTCTTTCTTCGACCGCAAATCTAAAAATGTCTTCTACATCTCCCGTTCATGCGAATACAGCAAACTGTTTACAAGTATTAGTAATGAATGAAGAAACGAACCAATTACAGGCATTAAATTACCCAATAAGGCCAAACATGACAGCTAGAGAGCTAAGTGAGTATAGTTACATTCAAACTATATTTTCTGTATATATTTACTTGTTTACAAGAACAAAGATACTCATTTAATTTATAATTTTAAAGTTATTCGTGTATCATATAACGAGAAGTAAGATCTCTATAAAAACAACTCTCATCATGAATTGACATCACCTATAGATTTATAGAGGACCAGAAAACACTGAAAGGTTGTTTTTTATTGGTCTCCTAAACTTTAACAGTGTACATTAACAATTCAACTAGGGATGAAAACCAGGATTTTCAACACACATGATCAGCTATCAACATCTATACCAAAGGCCCAAATTGAAAATATCTACCAATTTTCGGATAATACACGTCAATTGTTCAATAGCATCCACAATGAAAACAAGATTGAATGAATATGACAGAAAATATTCACAAAACGAAGTTACATTTTAATTAAAACAATTAGATTATAAATAAACGAAGGTATATCCAGATTGTTTATCGAATTCCGTAAATATAATCATGTAAACTTCATTGATATTTAACATATAATCTGACTGATTTTATATTTTATTTACATTTTTTTTCAATTGTTGAGATCATGAGTCAATTGAAGCTAGATAGATCATCGTTTCGTCCTATTGTTGGACTCCTCAGTAATGGGCAATAGGATGAAACAGCTGTCTAGTGCTTCCAGGTTTTTCATGGTGCTAATTGTGTTTATCACAAAAATATAATGTTAACTTTAGAATCATTTAAAATGAGAAGATATTTCATAGATTTTGTTGTTGTTGTTGTTTTGTTTTGTTATAGAAATGTAAGTTGATGAATTCATGCATATGATCTAATCTAAACAAGGCTTACAGATCTCTCATTTCCAATCAATTTATATTGTAGTTAACGTGTCATCTATTGTCATGTGTCAACTTACACTGTCCTTTATGTTGTTGTTATCGTCTTCATTGTTTTCAATCAATGTTATCATGTTTATTATTTATTCCCTATCCATATTTTATTTGTTTTATTCACTTGCTTTCAGATAATTTGATAGCATTTCAAATGAGAATATTTGATTCAAAAGATTTTGGATTATTTGCTTACATTAATGGAACAGGTAATAATTTTCGACTTTTCTTTATTTATAACTTAAATGTTTACCGTCTTTCCTAAATCATCGCATAACTCATTTAAAGTCTATTATTCTTATAGATTTTATTTAAGGTGCTAATGGTCCTTAGAAGATACTACTAATTGTGAATAACTTGACCGGAAAATTGAAAAACTAATACACAAAGTATTGATGAAATGCTCTCACAACCAATTGTATGTATTATAGTGAGAAAATTGAAATTCATGAGGAAGCTTTAATGCCTCAATCGACATTGTGTTTGGTGCTTGAAATGTAAAGTATTAAATTCACATTCTAGTGTTAATCCCAACATTTAAGTGCAATTTTGTTCATGTGATGAGTTCCAAATAAAAATAAACGCCCTTTTTGGATTCCTCTATTAGCCATTATCAATCTTTACTTAGGAACTTGTAATTCATTAGCAGTATCAAGGCAATCCGCTCAAGGAGATATATGGTAAAGGAAAATGAATAAAATTTACTCAATAACATCAACAATGGAAAGACTGAAACAATTACATATTAATAATGGTATCATTACTTTGTAATTTAATAGTTGAATTTACAAGTCAATTAAGGCTAGACCACTATAAAAAACCTAGAAGCACTGGACGACTATTTTGTCCTAGTATGGGTCTCCTCAGCAGTGTGCACCCACGATCCCACTCGAGGGATCGATAAACGAAATAATTATTCCTTTCTTTTAATAAAACTTTTTACTCTTTTCATGACAAGTTATCTAAGCTAAATAAAAATTTTCAATATATTTGACAATTTTTTAAAAATTTAATAACTTTAACATTAATACCCATGTAACAAGTGATCTTATGACTTAATATCAGATCTATTATAATCAAGACTAAAAAAATAGACATTATAAACCCATTAGTTACTAAGATCTCAGTATCTATTTGAAGAGTTCATGCTATCCTGTTTATCTTGTTTAACTTACATATAGTACAAACTTTTTATAAATTCATAATATCATCTAAATTAGTTTGTTAGATTTTCATTAATTGAAAGTTTTTTTTGTTTCTTTTTTTGTTTAAAAGAAATTCAATTAGAAGATGAACTACGAATAGCTGAATATACTAGTTTAAATCCAGATATTTCATATTCAACACATATACTTCCAATAACAATGACAATGGTCACACCATCACGTTCACAAACCGGTACACCTAATTCACTTAAAGATCATGAAACACTTCCATTCAAAAGTCATGTTTCTATTAGTTCACAATCTGATTCTACTACCAGTAGTTCATCTGACTTTCGATCGCGAACAGTATCACATCGTACGGCAAAGTCAAATCGAAATCGTGCTGCTTGGTGGACAATGTGTGGATCGAATGGTCAATCGAAGCATCAGTTAGTAGTACCAGTCCAAGATTCAGCTTGTAAAAATGCTACAGAATGTCATGAAAATTCAGGCTTGCATAAGCCAGTGTTAGTTTATAAACGTAAATCTGGTTATTTCGCCTTATCTGACCGTCTGTTGGGATCAGGATTAAAATTTATCCAACAACAAAACTTGGAATTATCTTCCCCTGAACAATCATAATTTTATAAAATAAATCAAAAGAGTTCCGAATCATTTAAAAAATTCCAAACTCCTGTATTCAACTGAACTTCCAAAATTCTCATACTTCATGACCCAAAATGTATTTTAGAAAATATATCACCGAAAATGTATGTTACTTATAAATTTGATCAGTAGTAACAGTAAACAAATTAAAAAAACATTTTACAGACAAAATGCGTTGAAACGATCTAAACAAATCCTTACAATGATGTGCATTTAATCGGACCAGATTTTCTATTCATTGTTTTATTACAATCAGTTGAAGTGTTCATAAATCTGGTTCAGTAGATACACAAGCATATGGCACTATTCATAACAACATTTATTATGATTTTAGCTTTCATTTCATAGTATGACTTGACTAAATATTTGTGCTTACGATGCTTCTACTTATTAAAGTCTATTTAAAAGTAAATTAATACAATGATGGTAGTTCTGCCTCTGTAATCCTTCTTATCATTAATTTGTTTTCTTTATATCTATATTTTTCTCTTCATATTGAAAGTGATAATTATAATTTTTGCATTGAAGTTTTTACTTGTGCATGTTACCTATTATTAGGAAAATACAATGTTAGGATCTCACGGAGGAATCATCTGACGTTGAACATAATATTACTTAATAAAAAATACCTATTTACATGGGTACGTGCGTTTACACTGAGGATAGCAAACTGAAAAGTCCGACAGAAAAAAGATCACGTATAAAACACAATAAGGGGAATATGACTAAAACCGGTTATCAAGAACAAAATGATAAAATTGACTCTAGGCCTAGATAACCCAAAATCATAAGCACTATATCATGCACGCTTTATTTTTGCTGCTAAAAGACATTTTACTCTGCTTAAGGCTTCTTAACCTTTGAAAATGGTCAGAGTAAAACCTAGGAGCTGACATTTGAATATTTTGGTTCTTACAAGTAAAATGATATTTGAGACTACAACATAACCGATTCTTCTAGATTTGTGTCCTCATAGTTGAGTGCTACAGATTAGGCTGTACCATTCAAGTGATAAGAAAATAGTCCGCTTGATAGAGCTACATTATAGCTTTTGTAGCACATTAAATGTTAGGATAGGTGATAATATCAATAAATCTGTCTGAATTTTGCTCTTATCCACTACTCAACTAAAAATCTTTCAACTGTACACTTTTATAAATCCTTAAATCAAGATATAGCATATCAAACATCCAATACACTTTATCGATTTGTTGTTATTTCTCTTTTTTATTCATTTGAGTGGAAATCTTAGAGAAACTCACCCTTTCTTATTAAGGATTTACTAGTAAAACTCCTGTGAAATAGAAAAACTAATTTTTTATTGACAATTGAGTGTATTTTTAATCTGTTAAATGAACGCCACGATCATATCAAAGTCTATAGGCAAGTGATATCTAGTGAACACATAGCAAAAGATGTAGTTTGACAAACTAGCCACTAAAGTCTTGAGGTTCCAAGTGTTATGTGCACGGTTTAGATACTGTGATGACACTAACTGTGTGTATTATTCAGTATATCATTCATAAAACATAATTTTTTTAACATTTTCTCCAAATAAGTGTGGGATGAAATACGATTTTATTTGGTTGTACCACAGATGTGGATCGTTTCACGTTTCTTTGCATTTAGATTATCCAGTTTCTACCACATTATTGAACCGAAATTGTTCTTTTCACTTTTTCTCACCAAGCGACCGATAATTAGGAATAATTTTGCAATTTTATACTAGAATGTAAAAGTCACACCAACTTGAACCTGATTGTTTTAGTAGTATAGTATGGTTCAATTGGTCCAATCATATATGTTTGAATTTCATTATAGCTTATTCATATTGACAAGAATTAAACATAATTATTTAGTGATGAAGTATTCTGTATCTCCGAAAATTTAAAAAGATTTTGAATTTACCAAGTGTCATTTGAACAAAGTAAGTGTTTGATACAGATTCTACTTTTTTATGTCATATCAGGAGATACATTTGAATACCCAAATACATATATATCGGAAACAACTACTTGAATAAATAACTTTGTACTTACAAAATTTAAAAACAAAACGATTTAACCCAAATCAAACGGTACAATAGGTTAGAAGGTCACTCCTTCCCCTGGTAATGCATATTATCAAGTGATTGTAAAAGTTTGTTCAAAGGTTCAAACGGTGTTTTTTTATTAGAATAACACTAGAAATGATTCAATGAGTTTATGTTTGATATCCTTCTTGAAATCATTTATTTGTCATTCTCTATACGCATTCCTTTTTAACACTTTTTTATCTAAAGCACAGTTTGTTTTCGTTTCCATCAAGCTAGTTTATCATAATAGTCTGAATAATAATTTTTTAATAACTGAAATCTGGAAATTAAATTTAGTGGTCATCTGCATTCGATTTGTAACATTTGTAACACTTGAGGTGTGCACCTATCAAGTGGATGATAGCAAGTTATAGTAACGTCCGAATTGGGGTCAGTACTCTGGATACATGTAACACAGAAATTAAACAGTTCGTGTTCAGTTACACTTAAAGACTTCAAGTTGGTAGACTGATGAAATATCATCATTTTTAAATATCAATGTACTGACCGTCGATCAATAAATTATTGAATTTAAAGGAAAAATTAACTAAGTGGAACATTATTAAAGTCACACCACAGGGATTCCTATCAGTTGATTCTACTAAAAATCTGGTCAAGCTTCACTTTCCTCTACCTTTCTAGTCTACAATATGAATATTTATAAAACTTTCTTCTAACTACATATTAATTGATTTTTATGGACTATTATACACCCATATTACAAAAACCTGTGAAAATACTGCAATCTCCATAAATCCTATATACTGCTGGCTTCAAGACATAATTCCTGGAGTTCTTGTAAGAATCTGTGACCAGTGGAATCCAATCTGTATCAGGTCTGAGACAGTTATTCATCACAGGCCATGGATGAAACGTTTCGCAAGATCATGGACTGATTAAAGTTAAACATTGACATAGTTGAATGCCAACTCGGTGGTCTAACGGTTAGGAATCGAAAGTTCTAGGTTTGAGTCCCCTCTTGACGAACGATGAGTATGCACACTCGAGGAGTCCCAAACCAAAATAGAATGTCCATCCGGTGCTCTCCGTTTTTCAATGATGGTCTAGCTTACATAAACTCATGATTTCAAATATGCAAACATTTGTCATCATATATCATCCAGCTATGTAATAGATATAATTCAATAAATCTCAACGATTTTATAAATAAATAAGATTACAATTTATCTTACTTGGAGTTGAGTGCTTTGGCTGTGAATTCAACCTGTACTTAATATTGTTTTATGTACTAAGTAGAAAGAGTCTAGGAGTCAACATGAGACTAAAAATATGAATTTTTAAACTAGTTAAGAAATATGTCCATGATCTCAACAGTATATCCTTGATTAAAATTGAATATAAATTTCATTGCTTCTGTTTAACATTTCCATAAACTTTAGATAATAAACGCTAACACCAAACTTATTTATTATTCTCTATATATAAAAAAAATCATTTCATGACTTTCAATAGTAAACAGTTCCACTTACAAAATAATTCCCATGAAAACTAATTATCATTATCATCACCAAGATGTAATAAATTATTGATTCAATGAATAATAATAATAAGCATGTTTGTTAAAAAGAGTGAGAGAAAGGGAAAAAGATAAAACAGATAGAAAATCCCAGTAAGTCAAAAAAAATTTTTTTTACTCTAAAATAGTAATCATAATAGTAACTTTGATAATAATAACAATAATGATAATAATAGTAATATATAATAATAATAATAATAATAATAATAATAATGATTGCACAGCCATTAATTAAACCAATGAAAGTATAATGACCAAAAACTGTTTTATCGACAATATCATGAAGAGAAAAAAAACCATAAACAATAAAGAAACAAGAAAAAGGAATAAAATCAAGTCAATAAAAATAGTTCAGAATAAATATTATGAATATGAATAGTGCCAAAATGAAGTATCTTCAATAATAATAAGGGCAGTTATTGAAAGAAAACAAAAAGAATCATCATACGTTACTAAAAATCAAACTGTATATGTCTTTTTTTTTCTTTGAACACAACAATGAAAAAAGGTAGTACAAATGATGACTACAAGAGAGTATAAAGAAAAGAAAAAAAAGAGATAAGAAGAAATAACAAAGTTTCAGGAAAGGTAACTACTTGAAAACACTGGTTCATAATATATATGTATATATATATATTCATTTGCTTATTAGTGGTTGTGTTGTTTTATTTTGTTTCTGTGAGAAGAGTGTAGATGTTAAGTGCTTAGGAAAGGATGAGTGATGTAAAAAGTACTTAATATTGAGTGATAGATCAGTATAAAACATTGAATACACAATACATTTGTTAACAGTGATATACACAGATATTATATCTATATATATGTATATTGAAGCAATTTATATCTAAGAGGTTTATAAGAACTATTTTGATATGTGAATTTATCAGATATGTAATGTATAAAGACAGTGAATGTCATTGTTGTTTTAATGTGTTATTGAATGATATGATGATAATTATCGATTTACGTCTGAAGATTTCCCTATAATGCTAATTTCTGGCATTAAACGTAATTCTGATAAAGAGTCAATTGATTTATCACGTCGATTACTAGATGTATGTTGATGGTGATGATTTCGTTGAGTTGATGAATTTGACTCTGATCTCATTAATCGTCTATCATTTATACTTTCATAATTTGCATTGTGTTGTCCATCGGAAAACTGAATTGACAATAGAAAAATAAAACATCATGTTAATGTGATGATTTACATTTGAAAATTAATTTGACAATACTAATTTCATGTTTAAGTTCAGCATTTCTTCGTCTGAGAACATTTAATCATGGGAATAAATTAAAATCAATTTTCTAAAACTTCTTATTTCAGATTTTAGAAAAGATAAATCTATGAGTTTATGAAAAAGT